AAAAAAACCAAAAATAAAATCTTTAAATAAAAGAAAGAGGACTTAATATTAAAGATCTTCTCTTAATTTAAATGTTATTACTTTACAATTTATAATTTAAGACAGTTCAATCAGTAAAACAATCTTTTTCAACAAACATTCATTTAAGCCTCCGATAGTGTTGGTGCTACCCAGTCTGCACCAAGTCCAGGTTAAAGGGGGAATGGTAGGTTGAATATCTGCTTAAATTTCAAGTTAGTCCTGTTTTGAAAGTTAGCAAAGTTGTGAAGCTTCCACGAAGGCTCTCTTCCAAAGACCGTGTAATTCCGGAACTGTATTTTTACCTATCAAAATACAAAACTCCACTAAACTAATTGAAACAATCTCACTTTTCAACATAAATGAAAACAGATGCACACTAAACTTTACCATGCGGTCCGAAAAATCATCTGTTTTAAAAATTGAATTCTTAATTTTTAACCTAACGATTAATTATTGCCTTGTCAAAAAAAAAAAAACGGATGCACACTGAATTTATTTAGCAATAATAACAACACGGAGGAACTAATTAGTGCTACTACTATCACAAGTGAAGCCATCACCAATCAACAACAAACCCAACACATAATTATAAAAACGAGATACAAAATAGGGGCCCCCAAAAAAAATATCAAACTACAGTGATTGTGATTCATCAGTTGGAGGATTAACAGTTCCTTGGTTTTCCAATTGAGAATCTCCAACGTTTTCATTGTTTTCTTCTTGTGATGGCACATTTTCATTGTTTTCTGTTCCACTTCTTACGTTTTGATGATCTTGTTCGTTTTGATCATCATCTCCTCTATTCTTGATTTCCGCCATCAATCTCGCAGCCATCGGAAGGCCGCCGGACTTCAATTTGAATTCCTTTTTCAAGTCCTCTGTTATCGTAGACACTTTCTTCTTCAGAACGGAGTTGTAGATTGAGAAGCAACTATCCAGATCCTCAATCGGTCGAGGGGTATACAAAATTTTCCCCTTTTCTTTCTCCCCCACCATCCTCTCTGCCGCTTCCTTCCTCCTACTCGTCACAATAACAGCTCCGCCACTACCCTTTGGAAACGCAAAGGAAAATTCCTCATATTTATTCTCGTCGCCGTTGTCGTCGGCCGGAGATATTAGGTTGCGGCAACAATCATCATCTTTACTAACGCCATCGAGGACGATCAGATACCTTCTTCCGGCCAACTTCAGGCGAACAGCATAAAGCAGTGCAGCAACTCCACGTTGAGCGAATTCCGCGATCGTATTCTCATCCACCTCAAGTTTCCCCAATATTGTTTCAAGAACTTTTTGCTTCTTGAGCGTCTCGGTCCCGGGCACGGATACCCAAATCCTGGGAAGAAAGTAGTGCTTCACATAATCGTTGTCGAAAACCAACCGGGCAAGCGCTGTTTTTCCGACCTCTGGCATCCCGAAGATCCCGATTGCCTTGAAATCTCCGTCATCTGGTTTTATGAGGCATCTCACAAGCCAAAGCTCTTCGTTCTCATAACCGTGAACTATAGATGTATCCACCGACGCTGGCTTGGGAGCCACATCTGGTATTTCTGGTTGTTTACCCGGCTCCGTTGACTCCTGTACATCGGTTGGGGTCGACTTCTTAAACAACCAGGGACAGAATTTGGCGATGTAGGATTCCTTCTTGGCCGATCTCTTTGTTTCTCTCTGGAACTTGGTGTAGAGAGGCTCAGGAGTCTCCTCACCGGCGGCGCCATTACTGGATCTGTTGTTTTGTTGGTTTTGGTTGTCCATATCCACAGTAGTGGAAGTGTATCAGTATTCCTTATGGGAGCCGTAAAGACTTAAAAGACCGGGGAAATTAGGGAGATGTTATATTTTTGTTTTGTGGAGATATTTATTTATATATAATTTTATATATTATATTTATGTAAA